TGTCAGTGGCAACCTATGGGTAGAGACCCCTCTGAAGAATTGAATGACATTTACATAGGAGTTACCAAAGACTATCGCAAAACACGGGTATTTACATTATGTTTCATAACAACAGCAAAATTACAGTTATGAAGTAGCAACAGTTGGGGGTCACCACAGCATGAGGGTCACAGCAATTAGGAAGGTTGGGAACCACTGGTCTACATGATTGTGTGTGCTTTGAGAGATTTGCCAATTAATTGGAAGAATGTGAATTTTGCATGTATGCCTTCAAGATCTTTACCAATGCAACCAAGTTTGTGTTTAGTACTGAAACTACAGGCTTGCCGTGTTGTGTTGACCAGCAGGATTTCTTGGATCTTATCACATCATGCTTCAGACCTGTGACTTTCCTGTGCATATGGAACTAGGTAAGACTTTGTATTCATTGTAATGTTGCTAACATTTGTTAACACTACACATGCTGGGTTATATAGTAATCGGAGCATTCAATCCTGTAAAGTTGCACCTCAATGTTTAATTTCTGGCCAATTATTCATACAAAGTTCCCTACATTCCTATCATGTAGGTGAAGTTGCTATACTTAGAGGGTGATAATCTATGTCTGGGCAATATAAAGTATGGGCTAACTAACATCATTGATGAGTTTGAAAGTAAGGCATTATAATTTGGAAATAACATTTTACGTGTTATGCATAGCCTAATGGATTGTAAAAAGGGGGAAATTTTAAAATCACTTTCTCAAGGTCTAAAAGATACTTAGGATCAACAGTGTTCTCCATGGCTCTCAGTCCCCTTGCATCCACTATTAGAATGGATTAGCCACCCATTCCCGGAGACGCTCCCTTCCCCCAACTTGTATCTTACTCTGCTCTGTTCTCCCCATTGCTCCCCTTCCCCTCTCTGTCCTCTCTGCGGTCTCATCAGCTACAAGTGTCTGCCCCTCACCGCGGCCAGCCATCAATCCCAACTGCTTCCACTTGCCTTCAATTCACACATCTCCTCCCATGTTAACATCACTAAATCTACAATTCTTGCCACACCCAGTTTCTGTTCAGTACTAACCTGGCACTTCCATTTGGGTCGTCATTCAGTACATTTAATATGTAGGCCAAACACAGTCCCATTTTATTTTGTGTCTCCCCAGTTCCTATGAGCCTGTCACCTCACATGCAAACCACAGGGGCTACCCTTGCATTTGCAGCAATTCTGCCTCAGCCCTAGAAGGCTCGGATGATAGGAATGCATCCCATGCCCAGCATCACACTCTGCTTCAAGCAACTACATCTCACCTACCTGAACCACAGGGATTTCACTTGGCACACTTGACCCTTGCTCAGCACCATCCTTCCCAACACTGTCAGTCAAAATAAGCACACAAGTCTGGGACCATTTCCCATTGCCTCTATCAAAACTTCCTCCAAACTCTTCACTAACATTGAGTTCTCCCCTCCCTGACATTATAAGCCATGTAACACAACTGTAATTTAGCATCTCCTTTTCGTTCTCACTATTGGGTTTATTCTAGTATGCTGGTCTTCTCTTCCTGCATAGATTGCATGTGCTCCTTGACAATGAGAAACAGGATCTTTATCCCAGTGGCCCGGAACACACTGCTTGTGTAAGCAGACAGTCCCTTCCACGTGTTTAAAAACACCCCACCAATACTAGTTTCCTCACATGTTCTTAATGCCTTTGAGCTTTGCATTCCATTTGGACACTGTCTCAAATATTCTTTGAAAGGTATCTAAAGCAAAACAACATACGCATTGCTAGATAGAGAGCAGGCACACTAGGAATACTGAACCTAGAAAATCATTTTTATCTCTATTAAAAAAAGTACAGTGAATCATTTATCTATTCACAATTGGTCCCAGAGAAACACAGGCACAGCATGTGGACTTGGAGAGGTGCACCGACTAAGTCACACACAGAGGATGACAGTGGTCCAGTAAAGAAATGAGAAAATTTAAGATGGTAGGTATGTTAATTATACTGATTAGATCATGATGTACTATTTACATAATGAGAACACCATATTGCACACAAGTTATGTTTTAATAAAAATAACATTTTAAAAAGTACATTAAATACCACAACACTTTATTTTTTATTATTCATTGTGTGTTTGTGTGTGTGTGCATGCGCGCACCTCATATGTAGAAGCTTCTGGTGGCACTTATCCTAGAGCAGGATTTACAGGCTCTGGTGAGCTGTGTATGGGTGCTGGGGCCTAAACTCGTGTCCTCTGGAATAGTAGCAAATGCTCTTAACCACAGAGTCATCTATCTCTCCAGCCCCCAACATCACAGTTTAATACAACTACAAGTGCTTTCATTATTTCTACCATCCACTTTAAGTTTTGGGCTGTTTAGATTAACTTACACATTTGAACATTTTTAACATTGCCATATTTAAATTTTTATTTTACTTATTTATTTGTGGAGAGAGGGGCATATGCACATGTGGAAGTCAGAAGATAATTTACAGAAATCAATTCTCTCTTCCACCACGTGAATCCCGGGGGAGCAATTCAGGCTGTCAGGCCTGGCAGCAAGTGCCTTTGCCTGCTTTATCCACTCACTCTCTAACCCTGTGTTTCTTGGCAATCTGAAACTCCTCACATGATTCTTACATTCCCCACATTTCTGTTCTCACAATATCATATCTAATTTACTGATTAATCAAAGTTAGAATTATTAATCATTTTGTTTATATTCTAAACCCCCTAACTCAAAGGTGCTTATAGTTACTTTCAATTTCTGGGTTAAGTATTCCTATGTGCTTTATAGTTTACAGTTTGTTAGTGAACAAAAGTTCTTGCTATATTGCTATATTGTCCTTCAACCTTTGATGAGAAAAGCTTGCCAAGGCAGACTTAACGCCTGTGGCTTTGCACCATTTATCTGAGCTGTAGATGATTTTTCTACCCCAATCACGTGTACAGATCTAAAATGTCAACAAGCCTTGTTTTCTATCTTCCTTTGTCTTTAGAGTATAAAAATCTCGCACATCGGGTTGTGGCCATACTGAGTGCAATCATGGACCCAATTTCAATTCCCAGAGCCTCCCCAAAACAAATATTTTAACTTGCCAGTGTTAACATTATGAGACCCTGTCTCAAAAAAAAAAAAAAGAAAAGAAAAGAAAACAGTTAACTCTACTTTTCAACAAAATAAAACATCTTACCAGTGTGCCAGGGGACTCAAAGGGAGAGGAGGAGATGGGGGCCTGTTTAGTTGGGGAGAAGGGTTGATTTTGTTTTGTTTTGTTGTATTTATTTTTGTTTGTTTTCTGAGAGCGTTCAAAAGAATGACAAGTTATCATAAAATCTGAGAGACTGTGGAAATGAGCCAATGTGTAGAATCTCAGCCTTCCTGCCCTTGAATTGTTCAATTGTGATGGGTTACTAGGCATAGCCCCATTTCTTTCATCTGGATGGGTGTTCTGGGAGACTGAAGTACCTGCCAATGGCCTAACATGCAACAGGATTGACGGGTCTTATCTAACTGTGTAAGTCTGTGAAAGTCACTTAGATGAACTATCCCATGCCTCAATGTCTTCTTACATAAAACAGGGTAATGAAAGTACTTAGTGTCGGAAGATCACATATGTCAGTATGATAGTTTAGTATTATGCCTACAACAATAACTTGCATTTGGTAAGCACCACGAGTTTAAACTGTCATTGTTACCATTGTTGCCTTTATTGCTCCCCCTGTTAACTGTGTGTCTACCACAATCCTCAGGGAGGCTGAAGGAAAATGTCCTGCCCTTGCTGGTGCCTTGCATGGAACAGGAAGCTGAGAAGTACCTCAAGGAGTTGGTGTTCTTTCAGATTGGCTCACCTTGGAGGGAAGCTCCACTCCCACAGCCGATGTGCTCTTGTCATGTGACACCCTCCCTTCCCCACAATTGCATCACCTGCAGTTTATCAGAAACTTCTATACGCTCAGTGTCTCACATTGTTCATTATTGAACATGCTATCTTCTGTAAGTGGTTTACAAGACTAACGAGTTTCTCTGAATCTTCTTACCACCACTGTGGCCAATAAGCATACCCCATCCATACCTCATAGGAACCCCCAAAACTGACACTCCATAGAGTGGCATTCATTACCTGAGGTAACCCTTCTCTTCCATTCTAAGAACTATGCCCATCATCTTGAAAGAACAATCCCTTCTTTCAAAGACAAAGTTGCCTAAATCACGATTACAAGATTCATAACTAAAGTAAGAGTTTCAATACATTGTTTCACAATGAGAAACGAGGCACAGAAACAAAATCCAGACTCCTTGTGTGGAAACATACACAAAAAGTCACTATTATGATTACAAGTCTATGTGACTAACATACAGAATAAAAGAAGAGCTGCCGGGTGCCCCTGCTAAGTGTTCAGTAGCATGGAGTTGCAGAGTTGATGCATGCATCTATATACTCTGCCAATGACCCACCAATAGGAATAAAATACTGAAGTGTTCATTGACCAAAACTCTCCCTCACTAGGCAATGCCTGTGTGGACATTTAAAGTAATGGTTGTCACTATTCACTTTGTGAACAGAGTCATTCAGCACTTAGGAACCTCATCCAGCATATGCTTTCCAACATTTCCCCCCCCAAAAAAAATTCTTAGAGAAAAACCCCAGTTCATCCCATCAATCACTACCTACCCTCATCATCAGCCGCTACCCTCACTTTCACATCAATTGATACTTTACTAGCCCATTTTCATATTTTCCAGCAGATTACACTACCTAAAAGGACACCAAAGTGAACTAAGCATGAATTCTTGAGGAAGAATAGATTTTGCCATCTTCCCACGCCCACCAAGCTGTTAGAGCAGAAGAGAAAAGTGTGTGAGAGCACATGGTACCATGCTTTTAAGATGAGCCAACAAGGAAAGATTTTCATCATCATGAGGTTCTACAAAAGAGTGAATCCCTCTGCTAGCCCTGAGTGAAGTCCCTCCCGCAACACACTGTAGCATGTGGTCACTCACCGCATACTGGAATTTCTCATTGTAGTCTCGGTCATTGGCTTTCACCACCCGCTCTACTTCTAAAAGAAAGAAAAACAAGATATGGAATTCAACGTCAAACCCACAGGAACATAACTTGTTAAAGTAACGACACTGAGGTTACTTTGATTTTGAGTTCTTTTCTTTGAAATTGAAGGGTGTTAGTTTCTGTCCAACCTGAACATTGGAACACCAGTTGGAAAGTTCCAAGTGGGACTGTGGAAACAATTTATCAGGTAAAAGGACCTTCAAAATCAGCAGGGCCTGAATTTGAATTCCCAAACACATATGAAAGGTAGACACACAGCATAGGCATCTATAATCCCTAAACTCCTACTGGTATAGAGATGGAGACACAGAATCCCTGGACGCTCTTAGGCTGGCTCGCCTGGTTTACACAGACAAAAGTCAGCAGAGATCCTGCCTCGAACAGGGTGAAAAAGAAGACCAACGTCTAATTGTTCTTTGACCTCTTCATCGGTACTGTGGCATTTAGTGCCTACACAAGAATGCACACACTCACAAGAATTCATGTGCTTGTACACACCACACACACACATCTTAAAAAGTTAAAAGAAAGTCTCAAAATGAAAAGCTATGTATTTTTATTATCTTTTTTATGAAATCCTTAAAATAAAACATTGTATTTCTCTAGTTTGTACATCATTCAGCTCCACCCTTACTCTTTAACTTCATGCCATTTCCAAAAGAGAAAGACCCACTAAAAGCCAAACTTATCTTGAAAATGATTTTTTTCACATAAAAAAGCACAAAATACAACACAGGCAAATAAAAAGCATATAGAATTGGTCATTTAAGTCACTGACCTTATGCTTTACAGCCACAGACCAAAAGGTGGCATTTCTAAAAGGCACATCACATGATTAAAAGCCCTCAATAGACATAGCCAGTGAGTTAATCTCTTCTGAGGCCAAATTTTGTGGCAATGCAGAAATTAAAATTGTCAAAGAAAAGATGGTGCCCAGGAAAACTGGTCATGCATCTTCTGTAGTATGGTGACATGCCCCTGTCTCGTGTTTACTGGGAAGCTGCTGCAATAATATTAAGGGCTTGAGATCAAATACTGAAAGCTGTGGGGACAGTCAGCTGAGTAGTTGCCAAAGGTCAATAGTGGACTTGCGTGGTAAACGACTTATCCGTCTGGCTTGAGGGCCCCTTGATTTCTCAAGAACTGACTCACAGTTCTCCAAAAGAAGGACAGAGTTGAAAAATGAGAGTAGGCAAGCAGTGACAGACATGTTCTTAAGGAAGAGGACAGAGAAGAAGAGTGCTTTCGAGAAACGAAACAAGTTGAGAGTGCCGGAGAGGAAGAAAATGTCAGGCATCACATGTAAAAGTTGTAAAAACTTTTTCCCCAAAGTTCTGCTAAAGCTCACCCAACTTGTGGTAGTTTGAATAAGAATGGCCCCCATAGGCTCATATGTTTGAATGCTGAAGCATCAGGGGGTGGCTCTACTTGACAGGGATTAGGAGGTGTGGCCTTGTTGGAGGAAGTGTATCACTGAGGATGGACTTTGGGTTTCAAATGCTCAAGTCAGGCCCAGTGTCTCTCTCTGCCTTCATTCAGATCTGGATGTAGAACTCTCCACTACTCTCCAGCGCCATGTCTGCCTGCCCCACCATGCTCCCCACCATGATGCTAATGGACTAAACCTCTGAAACTCTAAGCCTTAATCAAAGGCTTTCTTTCATAAGAGTTGAGAAGGTCATTATGTCTCTTCACAGCAATAGGACACTGACAAAAGCACCAAGACACTGCTCCTCAGTCTGAAGGTCACCCTGAAGATTGCTGCTAATTGTTTTGGGTTGCATTTTCATTCCTACCACTTGTAGGGTGAATCATTTGTCTGACATCCACCTCCATGGCTCACTTCTTGCCTGGAAAGCTGATTTCCTATGATTTTTTTTTCCTGCAGTCCAGCATGAGTCATCTAGCTGCTGATAAGAACAAGCTGGACTAGTGGGATAAGCTCACAACCACGGAGTGTGCCTTCCCACCATGGATACCATCAGAAAGCAGCCTTCCAACCAACCAATCACCTGAAAGAAACTCTTCATTCCTAGCTCTAAAAGCCTAACCATTTCTTTTTCTTGAGTGTCCCACAACAAAAAAAAGTCAAAACTCAAAATGTTTCTTGGACAGTGAGGCTTAAAATAGCAAGGTGACTTGTGTATCACTCCCTAAACAAAAAAAAAAAAAAAAAAAAAAAAAAAAAAAAAAACTTCTGTCAAAAAGAGTAGTGGGTATTACTGTGAGGGTAGTCAAAGGACGTTTTCCAAATGGCAAGAGTTAACCTGGCTCATCAACAAGCTGCAATAGACTTATCAACTAATTTTAGCTCCAAATAAAAAATAAGATACACTAATTTAAATGTTAATCATCCTGGACTTAGATTTTGCACATTCAGAGAACTGTCATTTTCGAATTACACATTTGTGTAGAGCATTCCACGGGCATAAATTTGTGGTTGTGCACAAATTGTACTTATTCCAACACCAGAACCTTTACCCTACAAACCAAGAAGGAATCATCCACCTAGAACTACAGATAGCCACATTCTAAATTGTTTGAAATCTTATTATCATTCTGTGTGAGGATGCATGGTGTGGGAGACAGCTGCATTGCCATAGCACAAGTGTGAAGGTTGGAAGGCAGCTTTGGGCAGTCTAATCTCCCCTCCCCTCCTACCTTTACATGGACTCAGGGATCAAACTCAGGCTACCAGGTTTGTGTGACTAGCATCTTTATTATTGGCTGAGCCATATTGATGACCTCCATAACTATATTCTAATAGATCACCACCAGCTCTCCCTAAATGATCAAATGTTGCTCTTGCCCCCATAGCACCTGATTAGATCTAGGACACCCTCTTTTGCTTCTAAATTCTTAAGATTAAGTCCTAATCTTCATGTCTTCATTTTTAGTGATTATTGTCTTTATTAACCAACTTTTTGTTAATTCTAGTAGATGATTTTGTTATCTTTTTATAAAACTCTAAAACACACTGGTTTTGACTCTAAATCTTTACAATTCTCTGCTCTTAGTTTGGCTACACTAGGCCTGAATTATCTTTGCAAAACTTAGCTTCCTTCCATCTGTTGCTACAGTGTACAGTGGGAGAGTCACATCCTAGAAGAGGACAGACACAAATTCCCTCTAAGAATTCCCATTGAGAAAGTCTTCTCCAAGATGCAATGATTTAAGCCTGTTTCCTGTTTCCTGAGCTCTTTCCAGGGATGATTTCAGTAATGAAAGGGTGTGGTCACTGATGGGGGATGTCCTTCTGTATATATGTTTCTCTTATTGGTTGATGAATAATAGAGGCAGGAAGATAGGCAGGACTAGCAGATAAGGAGAATCCTGGAAAAGGAAGGTAGAGAGAGTCGTGGCAGGGGGACATCATGAAGCTGGCAAAGGAGTTACAGGTCCGGGAATTCTCCAGTAAGCCAAGACCATGTGGAAATACATAGATTTATAGAAATGGGTTAATAATTAAGACAGAGCTAGCAAGCCGGCATTGGTGGCACACGCCTTTAATCCCAGCACTCGGGAGACAGAGGCAGGCGGATCTCTGTGAGTTCGAGGGCAGCCTGGTCTCTAGAGAGAGTGCCAGGATAGGCTCCAAAGCTACACAGAGAAACCCTGTCTCAAAAAAAACAAAAAAACAACAAAAAAAAGACAGAGCTATCCAATAAGAAGTCCCAGACATCAACCAACAGTTTTGTAACTAATATAGTATCCAGGTGTTTATTTGGCTCTAAAGTGGGCAAGGCAGGACAAGAAACTCCAGCAATAGGTCACCATAGGGTATATGATCTACAGAAGCACCCTACACCTCTATAATTAATTGCTGAGTTTTTCTGGCTCCAAGGAGAGTAAGTCAGCACATGTTAAGAAAGATATAAAGGAACTTCCAGCTTAAGATGGCAAACAGATGCCTTCTGCTGGGCTGGCTTCTTATGCCTTACTGGAGTTACAGAAAACATGTGCAGAAGAAGAAAAATATGGCTGTGGGAAGGCCGCTGATTTGAAGGACGCTTAGAGAAGAAACTAGAAGGAAAAAGGAGTCAGTATGGCTAGAAAGAGAAGATAGGAGAAACTCTAATCAATCAAGTTAGAATAGTAGTCATCCCGTGGAGGCCCAGGGCAAAGTCTCAGGGTCAGAAGTCAAAGAATAATAGTGTCTCTTATAGACAGAGTGATGGAGCCATCTCACATACATTATTTATAGAGAGTGAAAGTGTCTTATATACAGAGTGATAGAGCCATCTCACACACATTATTTTTACAAAGTAGTTGTCAAGGTCCTTTTTCATTCTCAAAGGTGTCTTGGAGCTGGAAAAGGAACTAGGTTTAAATGATAAATTATATTACCACTTCAAAAGCATGATCCAAGGGCAAGAGACAATGCTAAGACAGGTGGGTGAATGGGCTGGTTCTTCTTATTAATTCTAATTAGTGCCTTAAATATCTGCAGGAATACATGATATCAGTGAAACAAGAGCAAGTTATATAACAATGAAAATGAGAAAGTTTCTGGAAAAAAATAAAACATTGGTGTGTGTGTGTGTGTGTGTGTGTGTGTGTGTGTGTGTGTGTGTGTTCATGCGCATGTGCACACTCATGGATGTGTGAGTTTATGTGCTGCCTGAATGGAAGCTTGTAGGGGCCAGAATTGGTCATCAGGTCCTCTAGAACTGGAGTTACAGTTGTGAGCCACCAGGTGGGTGTGGGGAATCAAACCCAGGTCCTGAAAGAGCAGTTGGGGCTCTTAATGTTGAGCCATCTCTCCAGCCCCCTGGAATATACACTAAATAGATGAACCAGAACAGATAAATTTGAAAAACCTTGATTTAAATGTATATCAAAATTCTCAGGTAAAAAAAAATTATAAAAATGAAAACCAAGAAGGGAATATAGACAGTAAACAGAAGGAAATGATCAAACGCATAGAAGGAGTCTCTCTACTCCAGAGGAAGATTCCAGTCTTTTCAGTGGTAGCACACACCTTTAAACCCAACACTCAGGAGGCAGAGGCAGTCAGATCTCTGTGAGTTCAAGGCTAGCCTGGTCTAAAAAGTGAGTTCCAGAGCAGCCAGGGCTGCTATACAGAGAAACCCTCTCTCGAGAACAAAAAAAAAAAAAAAAAAAAAGATGTCAGTCTTAAAAGAAAAAGTTCCACCAGATTCCAATCAGAATTCAGTAAAATGGACTTGCATGTATCCATAAAAGTTCATCTCCATGCCTATCACCTAATATTTTACAGCAAAAATAATAATAACTACTTAAAATTCAACAGCGATATGGAATATAGAAGATACAGAAGCAGGGGGGATAACCAACCAAAGACATGACCTACACACCTGCTCAAGGTGAGCCCTGGGTTCTATAAAGAAACTGAATGTCTATTGTTTTTTAAGTTTTTATTTATTATTGTATTTGTGGAGTATGTGTATAATAAAAATAAATCTTTAAAAACAAAAAAAAGAAAGAAAAGTAGCCTTCACTCCCCTGTTTGCAAGGTCAACAATATTTAATGATTCCTTCAAACAAGTAGATTAGTAATGACGTGCTGAAAGAACACCTGTGTCTGTGCCCTGTGCTTGCCACATTCTCCACGGTGACCAATAAGGATAGGAAATGGTCCCTTCGAACAATGACAATAATAGTGCATTTAACCTTGTCTAGGGATGACCAGCTTATAGTCGACAATCATACCCCACTCCCCAAAAAGTAGTTATCTGGTGGGGCTATTGATTTACTAAGTCCACTTTTAGTTAAAAAAAAAAAAAACTGTTGGGCAGTGATGGCACATGCATTTATTTCCAGCACTTGGGAGGCAGAGGCAAGAGGATCTTTGTGAGTCGAAGGCCAGCCTGATCTACAGAGTGAGTTTCAGGACAGCCGGGGCTACACAAAGAAGCCCTGTCTCAAAAAGCCAAGAAGAAAAACAGAAACTATTTCACTATGTTTGGAAGTGGCAGTGGGACAATACACATTCAATATATCCAAAAGCATTGTCCAATCACTTAAGACACAAACGTAAAGAAGGGGAAAGGGACTTCTAAAACATTATTTGCTAAGAATATTTAACCGCAATACTACACTTAAGATGCTATTTCCTGTACACAAGATTTCAGGTCTTGTAAAATGAAAGTTAGAAAAGCCTTCAGATGTGAAGGGGAGGGATGCTGAGGCAAGGGCTAATTCCCACAGCTGCCACAGAAGCACTTCAGCTGAAAGCCTCTCCTCAACAGTGACTTCTCAGGAAAGTATCACCACTTTGCATGGTAATCATTTAATGAGAAAATGTGTTGGAAGCACTTTTTAAACAGAGAAAAATTATGAGATTTATATGCATGTATGAAATTCTCAAACAATATAAAATGCATGCAAAAAATCTTTAAAAAAAAAAAAACTAAACATCCAAATGTTTGTATTACTTCCCCAAGAGAGTCTTGAAGTAGTTTTCTGGATATTTCCAGTGAAAATTAGTGAATGATCATCAACTCTGCTCCAGGTTCTTGAAGGCAATGCTTACTTCTTCCTAGTCTGGGATCTTTTCCATCATGGTACACAATAAATTACAAATTCGATATCTCTCACTTCAGTCAGGAAAAGAGAACAAGTCACGTATGCCTCTTTGTTTAGTCAGTTTGTCTGTGAGCGGATCTTAACCACTTAAGTGTTGTTCACTACTTAATGAAAGCAGAAACTCTGTATCCAAGCCGATAGCAAAAGGGAGAAGTAGAAGGTGACCCTAGGACCCATGAGTTTGCACAGAATTGATAAACACAATTGTCCTTCAATTGCCTATACTGCAATTTTTCCTTTGTTCAATGTGGTTTTGAAGACAGCATTCA